GTTGTTGTTGTTGTTGTTGTTGTTGTTGTTGTTGTTGTTGTTGTTGTTATACAATTAAATGGTCCAAAACATCAAAACCAAACCCATTCCTTTAGTCCAAGTTCTATATGTCACTCCTCCAGCAGCAACTTTGAGTCTGGGCTCCTTCTGGTCTTTCTGTGGTACTGGTCTGGTACTGGTCTCTAGCTGGTATTGGTCCCTCCTTGTACTGGTCTCTATGATATTGGTCTTTATCTGGTCTCTGTGGTACTAGTCTCCCTGGTACTGGTCTCTCTCTGTTACTGGTATCACTCTAGTCTCTATGGCCCTGGTCTCTCTTTGGTCCTGGTCTCTCTGCTACTAGTCTCTCTCTGGTGCTAGTCTCTCTGGTACTAGTCTTCTCTCTGGTACTAGTCTCTCTGGTACTAGTCTCTCTGGTACTGGTCTCTCTGGTAGTTGTCTCTCTATGGCCCTGGTCTCTCACTGGTCCTGGTCTCCCTGGTCCTGATCTCTCTGGTACTAGTCTCTCTGGTACTAGTCTCGCTGGTCCTGGTCTCTCTGGTACTAGTCTCTCTGGTCCTGGTCTCTCTGGTACTAGTCTCTGGGGTCCTGGTCTCTCTGGTACTAGTCTCTCTGGTCCTGGTCTCTCTGGTACTAGTCTCTCTGGTCCTGGTCTCTCTGGTACTAGTCTCTCTGGTCCTGGTCTCTCTGGTACTAGTCTCTCTGGTCCTGGTCTCTCTGGTACTAGTCTCTCTGGTCCTGGTCTCTCTGGTACTAGTCTCTCTGGTCCTGGTCTCTCTGGTACTAGTCTCTCTGGTCCTGGTCTCTCTGGTACTAGTCTCTCTGGTACTAGTCTCTCTGGTACTAGTCTCTCTGGTCCTGGTCTCTCTGGTACTAGTCTCTCTGGTCCTGGTCTCTCTGGTACTAGTCTCTCTGGTCCTGGTCTCTCTGGTACTAGTCTCTCTGGTCCTGGTCTCTCTGGTACTAGTCTCTCTGGTCCTGGTCTCTCTGGTACTAGTCTCTCTGGTCCTGGTCTCTCTGGTACTAGTCTCTCTGGTACTAGTCTCTCTGGTCCTGGTCTCTCTGGTACTAGTCTCTCTGGTCCTGGTCTCTCTGGTACTAGTCTTTCTGGTCCTGGTCTCTCTGGTACTAGTCTCTCTGGTCCTGGTCTCTCTGGTACTAGTCTCTCTGGTCCTGGTCTCTCTGGTACTAGTCTCTCTGGTCCTGGTCTCTCTGGTACTAGTCTCTCTGGTACTAGTCTCTCTGGTCCTGGTCTCTCTGGTACTAGTCTCTGTCCTGGTCTCTCTGGTACTAGTCTCTCTGGTCCTGGTCTCTCTGGTACTAGTCTCTCTGGTCCTGGTCTCTCTGGTACTAGTCTCTCTGGTCCTGGTCTCTCTGGTACTAGTCTCTCTGGTCCTGGTCTCTCTGGTACTAGTCTCTCTGGTACTAGTCTCTCTGGTCCTGGTCTCTCTGGTACTAGTCTCTCTGGTCCTGGTCTCTCTGGTACTAGTCTCTCTGGTCCTGGTCTCTCTGGTACTAGTCTCTCTGGTCCTGGTCTCTCTGGTACTAGTCTCTCTGGTCCTGGTCTCTCTGGTACTAGTCTCTCTGGTCCTGGTCTCTCTGGTACTAGTCTCTCTGGTCCTGGCCCTTCCCTTCCTCACACTCTTCAATGAAGGCTTTAGAGCCTGACACATGTGGCCTAAGAGCTGACAGGGTCTTTGTGGCTCAGTGAGAGAGGGGGAGGAGGGGGGAGACGGGGGGGAGGAGGGGGGAGACGGGGGTCCGGGGGGGTTCAGGGGGGGGGGGACACTTGAAGACGACAGGCGAGCTGAAGGGGCCCCTTGAGAAGCAGCCTTGTGAGAGCAAAACAAACCCCAAAACAAGGGGTCCAGTCATGGGGTCTGGACCCACAAACATTTACTGACAAAGTGTCGCTGAAGCAGCCGCTGAAGAACCATTTATTTAATGACAGTTGTAAATATAAACGAGTTCAGCCACAATCAAGTCGTTTGTGGAGGAAAGAAAGTCGGGAAAACCCTGCTCCGTGCTTTGACACGAACACATTTGGAGGTCACCGAACAAAAGGATGTTTTCTCTTTTCTACTTCAGCGACAGAGAAACTGTAAACGTAAAAACATCGCAGAGATTCTGTGTTCATGTGCCGCATTCAACCCCCAGGAAATGCACGGTGGCTGAGTGGTTAGCACTCTCGCGTCGCAGCAAGAAGGTCCTGGGTTCGAATCCCGGTTGGACCAGGGCCTTTCTGAGTGGAGTTTGCATGTTCTCCCTGTGTCTGCGTAGGTTTCCTCCGGGTGCTCCGGTTTCCCCTACCACTAAAAACATGTACTGGCCCCTCCCATCTCTGTGTGGAGTTGGAGACTCATGCCCACAATAGTTCTAAACCGCTCTGACTCTGGTCTGAGAAAGGCGCTACTGTTTATAAAAAAATATGACTTACTTAAAAACAATGAAATATATCATCGGCAAAACCTGAAGAAGACACAACACCAGCATTTTGGCTCGAATTAGACGAAGCTTTCTTGTTCAAGATATTTTAATTTGTAACTAATTGAGAGATTATATAATGTCGAGAAAACAGTCTTGGGTTCAGGGCGAGGGTTTGAGTCTGATTTGTTTTGTGGTCATGAGTTTGGATCTTTTTGTGTCGACACATGGTCTGTGAAGGTTGTGGCATAAGACCTACTGCAGGCACTGGTGTGTGATTGGCTGAGGATGGAAGGGGCCGGCCTGGACGGGAGGGGCTGCAGCAGGTAGCCTACCAGACTGAACCTCCGCAGGCTGCATGTTTGTGGGTGAAGTCCAAAGGCTTCTGGCCGGACTTTGTTGAGTTCCCAAATGTTTAGTCCTGATTCATGTTGAAGTCTTCTTTACATGACAGTGTATGTGACCCGCCATTTTGATCCGTGTGCAAACTGTGGGTTCCCAGACGCTGTGGCCACCAATGGAAGGATGGGTCAAATGCATGGTAGTAAATGGTATGAGTAGATTTAAATTTCAATTCAATGTATGATGTAAATGACAGCTCTACAAATGTGTCACAGATTCGCCGACACAGATCAGAGAAACTGAGCTCGGCAAAAGCAACGATAACAAACACAGAGAGCCTTTGGTCCATAACTGTTAGTAAATAATCATTATCGTTACTCAGAGTTCTTACTTTCCCCATTACTCTCTACTCTGCGACACTGCCAGCTGCGAGAGGAATACAGATTCTCTCGTCGACTTGTATGAGGTCAAGACTCTGGGTTCTGATTGGTCCAGTCCCAGTGGTCTCCGTCCTCCGTCCTGAGGCTTCCATTCTTCTGCTCCATTGTAATTCCGTGCGCAGGTCGGAAGAGGAAAGTCAGAGTGATTGGATTCTTTGTGCTGGCCCCGTGTCATCTGAGGGCTGATTGAAAAGCCGTGGAGCGCTGCATTCTGGGAGACTGCCCGGGACGAGCGTGGCGGGGGGCGTTCGATTGATTTCCCAGCGCCCGTCTCTCCAGGCCACGCCCCTTTATCTGCCCTGATGGGAGCTGCTGATGGACCAACTTTGCTCTGCTTCTCAAGTGCACGGAGAGTAGTTCTAGCTTCAGTAATAAAAATAATAATAATAATGCACTCAAAGTCTCTTCACATAATCATTCTTTCTCTCCAAACACTGCGGTGATACAACTGTAGCCACAGCTGCCCTGGGGCACACTGACAGAAGCGAGGCCACCAGTCTGTGCCATGGGCCCCTCCCACCCCCACCAACCACTCACACACACACCAGACTCATTCTAATGTAGCCGCAGCCGCCCCACTGTGGCACCTGCTGTTCCCAGAGGTCTCCCATCACAGTACTAACCAGGCCCTGATCTGCTTTGCTTCAGAGGTCTGATGGGATCTGAAGTACATATATACTAAAACTGATATACTAAACATAGGAAATGCAGCGGTAAAAACACAGAGAGCCGTCGGTCCACGGGGGGCAGATGAAATGTGGGTGTGGCACAGTAGCACTTAGCATGTAGGTCCTGGCTTCCTGTGTGGAGTTTGAATGTTCTCCCTGTGTCTGCTTAGGTTTCCTCCAGGTGCTCAGCTTTACCACTTACTGACAGCAAAAACACAGTACAAATACTTTAATTACAAATACTTTAATTACAAATACTTTAATTACAAATACTTACAGCACAAATACTTACAGCATAAATACTTACAGTACAAATACTTACAGCACAAATACTTACAGTACAAATACTTACAGTACAGATACTTCTTGCCGGTCCTACAGATCTGTGGGACAGCGAACACGTGGCGGCGGGTGTGGGTTTCTGGATCCCGGTGGAACCCGATCTGCTTGAACGGTCCGGCAGTTCTGAGCCGGGATTTGGGATTGAGTGATCGGAATGTCACCCCGAGACTGACACTTTTATGGAGCCGCGAGCTGAAGACGGAAGACACCGCCCCATTAGGGTTTCAGCAGCAGCGCGAGAGAGGCTCGAGTCCCAATCCACCAATGCACAGAACACACTAGAGTCAGAGAAGAACCCTCACCCTACTGTAGGGCTGTAGGACTGTGGGGCTGTGGGGCTGTAGGACTGTAGGGCTGTAGAGCTGTGGGGCTGTAGGGCTGTAGGGCTGTAGGGCTCTAGGGCTCTAGGGCTGTAGGGCTGTAGGACTGTAGAGCTGTGGGGCTGTAGGGCTCTAGGGCTGTAGGACTGTAGGGCTGTGGGGCTGTAGGGCTCTAGGGCTGTGTGGGACTGTAGGGCTGTAGGGCTGTAGGACTGTAGGGCTGTAGGGCTGTAGGGCTGTAGGGCTGTGGGACTGTAGGGCTGTGGGGCTGTGGGGCTGTAGGGCTGTGGGACTGTAGGGCTGTGGGGCTGTTAGGGCTGTGGGGCTGTAGGGCTGTGGGACTGTAAGGCTGTAGAGCTGTGGGCTGTAGGACTGTGGGGCTGTGGGGCTGTAGGGCTCTAGGGCTGTAGGGCTCTAAGGCTGTAGGGCTGTAGGGCTGTGGGACTGTAGGACTGTAGTGCTGTAGGGCTGTAGGGCTGTAGGACTGTAGGGCTGTAGGACTGTAGGGCTGTGGGACTGTAGGGCTGTAGGGCTGTAGGGCTGTGGGACTGTAGGGCTGTGGGGCTGTGGGGCTGTAGGGCTGTGGGACTGTTAGGGCTGTGGGGGCTGTAGGGCTGTGGGACTGTTAGGGCTGTGGGGCTGTAGGGCTGTGGGACTGTTAGGGCTGTGGGGCTGTAGGGCTGTGGGACTGTAAGGCTGTAGAGCTGTGGGCTGTAGGACTGTGGGGCTCTAGGGCTGTAGGGCTCTAAGGCTGTAGGGCTGTAGGGCTGTGGGACTGTAGGACTGTAGTGCTGTAGGGCTGTGGGGCTGTTAGGGCTGTAAGGCTGTAGAGCTGTAGGGCTGTAGAGCTATAGGACTGTAGGGCTGTAGGACTGTGGAGCCCCTCCCTGCTCCTCCTGGCCCCTCCCTTATCCTCCTGGCCCCTCCCTGCTCCTTCTGGCCCCTCCCTGCTCCTCCTGGTCCCTCCCTGACTCCTTCTGGCCCCTCCCTGCTCCTCCTGGTCCCTCCCTGACTCCTCCTGGCCCCTCCCTGACTCCTTCTGGCCCCTCCCTGCTCCATCTGGGCCCCTGCTGCAGATCCGGAGCCTCACACATTATCTCCCGTCAGTCCAGGGGCCTGTAATTGGGAGCTTCCAAAGAGGGATCTCCAGAGGCTTTGGGGGAGACCGGGTCTGGACCGGGTCTGGACCGGGTCTGGACTGATGCCAGAAACATGCGAGTAATTAGTGAAACGCTTTAAAGCAGGAAGTGATGAATTATTGAGCGCCATCTGATTACAGCTCAGAGAAGACAGTTACTGCCACTGTTAAGGTCCTTCAGTGGCAGTGGGAGTAATCGCAGTAGTAGTAGTAGTAGTGGTAGTAGTAGTGGTAGTGTATTTATAGCTTCAGTAAACATACTGTGGTGGTAATCGTGGTTCAGCTCTTTGAGTATCCTTGTGTATGAACTGTGCTCTACAAATAAACTGGACTTGCAGTACTACATCAGCAGTACTACATCAGCAGTACTACATCAGCAGTACTACATCACAGTACTACATCACAGTACTACATCAGCAGTACTACATCAGCAGTACTACATCAGCAGTACTACATCAGCAGTACTACATCACAGTACTACATCAGCAGTACTACATCAGCAGTACTACATCAGCAGTACTACATCAGCAGTACTACATCACAGTACTACATCACAGTACTACATCACAGTACTACATCAGCAGTACTACATCACAGTACTACATCACAGTACTACATCAGCAGTACTACATCACAGTACTACATCAGCAGTACTACATCACAGTACTACATCACAGTACTACATCAGCAGTACTACATCACAGTACTACATCAGCAGTACTACATCACAGTACTACATCAGCAGTACTACATCAGCAGTACTACATCAGCAGTACTACATCAGCAGTACTACATCACAGTACTACATCAGCAGTACTACATCACAGTACTACATCAGCAGTACTACATCACAGTACTACATCACAGTACTACATCAGCAGTACTACATCACAGTACTACATCAGCAGTACTACATCAGCAGTACTACATCAGCAGTACTACATCAGCAGTACTACATCAGCAGTACTACATCAGCAGTACTACATCACAGTACTACATCAGCAGTACTACATCACAGTACTACATCAGCAGTACTACATCACAGTACTACATCACAGTACTACATCAGCAGTACTACATCACAGTACTACATCAGCAGTACTACATCACAGTACTACATCAGCAGTACTACATCAGCAGTACTACATCAGCAGTACTACATCAGCAGTACTACATCACAGTACTACATCAGCAGTACTACATCACAGTACTACATCAGCAGTACTACATCACAGTACTACATCACAGTACTACATCAGCAGTACTACATCACAGTACTACATCACAGTACTACATCAGCAACATGTACTGTATAAATGTCCCTGATGCCTGTCCTCCCACTGGAATGTGGAGTGGCCCCTGTTAGCATGTCCCACACTTTGGCCCCGTCGGCCCCTGGTCGAGGGCGACCTCGGCCCCCGCCCTTTGACCTGCACAGGTGACCTTTGACCTGCACAGGTGACCGTTGGACAAACATGTGTTTCTAATCCCAGCCTGAAGTGTTTGGATCCTTTGGAGCTGATAATCCTCAGAGTCTAAAAGTATTGTTCTGAAAATAAACATGTTTTATTTGTCTAAAAGAAACACTGTATTCAGTCTAGTGACATTAAAGGAGTGACATCACAGTACTACATCAGCAGTACTACATCACAGTACTACATCACAGTACTACATCAGCAGTACTACATCACAGTACTACATCAGCAGTACTACATCACAGTACTACATCACAGTACTACATCAGCAGTACTACATCACAGTACTACATCAGCAGTACTACATCACAGTACTACATCAGCAGTACTACATCAGCAGTACTACATCAGCAGTACTACATCAGCAGTACTACATCAGCAGTACTACATCACAGTACTACATCAGCAGTACTACATCACAGTACTACATCAGCAGTACTACATCACAGTACTACATCACAGTACTACATCACAGTACTACATCACAGTACTACATCACAGTACTACATCACAGTACTACATCACAGTACTACATCACAGTACTACATCACAGTACTACATCACAGTACTACATCAGCAGTACTACATCAGCAGTACTACATCAGCAGTACTACATCAGCAGTACTACATCAGCAGTACTACATCAGCAGTACTACATCAGCAGTACTACATCAGCAGTACTACATCACAGTACTACATCACAGTACTACATCACAGTACTACATCACAGTACTACATCACAGTACTACATCAGCAGTACTACATCAGCAGTACTACATCAGCAGTACTACATCAGCAGTACTACATCAGCAGTACTACATCACAGTACTACATCAGCAGTACTACATCACAGTACTACATCACAGTACTACATCACAGTACTACATCACAGTACTACATCAGCAGTACTACATCACAGTACTACATCAGCAGTACTACATCACAGTACTACATCAGCAGTACTACATCAGCAGTACTACATCAGCAGTACTACATCAGCAGTACTACATCACAGTACTACATCAGCAGTACTACATCACAGTACTACATCACAGTACTACATCAGCAGTACTACATCACAGTACTACATCACAGTACTACATCAGCAACATGTACTGTATAAATGTCCCTGATGCCTGTCCTCCCACTGGAATGTGGAGTGGCCCCTGTTAGCATGTCCCACACTTTGGCCCCGTCGGCCCCTGGTCGAGGGCGACCTCGGCCCCCGCCCTTTGACCTGCACAGGTGACCTTTGACCTGCACAGGTGACCGTTGGACAAACATGTGTTTCTAATCCCAGCCTGAAGTGTTTGGATCCTTTGGAGCTGATAATCCTCAGAGTCTAAAAGTATTGTTCTGAAAATAAACATGTTTTATTTGTCTAAAAGAAACACTGTATTCAGTCTGTAGTGACATTAAAGGAGACACTGTATTCAGTCTAGTGACATTAAAGGAGACACTGTATTCAGTCTGTAGTGACATTAAAGGAGACACTGTATTCAGTCTAGTGACATTAAAGGAGACACTGTGTTCAGTCTGTAGTGACATTAAAGGAGACACTGTATTCAGTCTGTAGTGACATTAAAGGAGACACTGTATTCAGTCTAGTGACATTAAAGGAGACACTGTATTCAGTCTAGTGACATTAAAGGAGACACTGTATTCAGTCTAGTGACATTAAAGGAGACACTGTATTCAGTCTAGTGACATTAAAGGAGACACTGTATTCAGTCTAGTGACATTAAAGGAGACACTGTATTCAGTCTAGTGACATTAAAGGAGACACTGTATTCAGTCTAGTGACATTAAAGGAGACACTGTATTCAGTCTGTAGTGACATTAAAGGAGACACTGTATTCAGTCTGTAGTGACATTAAAGGAGACACTGTGTTCAGTCTGTAGTGACATTAAAGGAGACACTGTGTTCAGTCTGTAGTGACATTAAAGGAGACACTGTATTCAGTCTGTAGTGACATTAAAGGAGACACTGTGTTCAGTCTGTAGTGACATTAAAGGAGACACTGTATTCAGTCTGTAGTGACATTAAAGGAGACACTGTATTCAGTCTGTAGTGACATTAAAGGAGACACTGTATTCAGTCTGTAGTGACATTAAAGGAGACACTGTATTCAGTCTGTAGTGACATTAAAGGAGACACTGTGTTCAGTCTGTAGTGACATTAAAGGAGACACTGTATTCAGTCTGTAGTGACATTAAAGGAGACACTGTATTCAGTCTAGTGACATTAAAGGAGACACTGTATTCAGTCTGTAGTGACATTAAAGGAGACACTGTATTCAGTCTAGTGACATTAAAGGAGACACTGTATTCAGTCTGTATTGACATTAAAGGAGACACTGTATTCAGTCTGTAGTGACATTAAAGAAGACACTGTATTCAGTCTGTAGTGACATTAAAGGAGACACTGTGTTCAGTCTGTAGTGACATTAAAGGAGACACTGTATTCAGTCTGTAGTGACATTAAAGGAGACACTGTATTCAGTCTGTAGTGACATTAAAGGAGACACTGTGTTCAGTCTGTAGTGACATTAAAGGAGACACTGTATTCAGTCTGTAGTGACATTAAAGGAGACACTGTGTTCAGTCTGTAGTGACATTAAAGGAGACACTGTGTTCAGTCTGTAGTGACATTAAAGGAGACACTGTATTCAGTCTGTAGTGACATTAAAGGAGACACTGTATTCAGTCTGTAGTGACATTAAAGGGGACACTGTATTCAGTCTGTAGTGACATTAAAGGAGACACTGTATTCAGTCTGTAGTGACATTAAAGGAGACACTGTATTCAGTCTGTAGTGACATTAAAGGAGACACTGTATTCAGTCTGTAGTGACATTAAAGGGGACACTGTGTTCAGTCTGTAGTGACATTAAAGGAGACACTGTATTCAGTCTGTAGTGACATTAAAGGGGACACTGTGTTCAGTCTGTAGTGACATTAAAGGAGACACTGTGTTCAGTCTGTGGTGACATTAATAATAATAATAATAATAATAATGCATCGGTTTTATATAGCGCTTTTTTGGACACTCAAATACGCTTCACATGTGTCATTATTCATTCACTCCATACACGGTGGTGATAAACTACTACTGTAGCCACAGCTGCCCTGGGGCACACTGACAGAAGCGAGGCAACCATTCATACACACACCAGACTCATTCTAGGCAATGGGGGTGAAGTGTCTTGCCTAAGGACACAACGGCAGTTTGGCACTTTACAGCCGCAGCCGCCCCACTGTGGCTGATGTTCCCAGAGGTTAAGTGTCTTGCCAAGGACACAACGACAGTAGTCAGTGGGAGGCGATGGTGAAAGTCTTGAGCGGGGCTTGAACCCACGACCTTCTGGCTCAAAGGCCAACGCTCTACCAACTGAGCTACTGCCGCCCATTAAAGGAAATACTGTATTCAGTCTGTAGTGACATTAAAGGAGACACTGTATTCAGTCTGTAGTGACATTAAAGAAGACACTGTATTCAGTCTGTAGTGACATTAAAGGAGACACTGTATTCAGTCTGTAGTGACATTAAAGGAGACACTGTATTCAGTCTGTAGTGACATTAAAGGAGACACTGTATTCAGTCTGTAGTGACATTAAAGGAGACACTGTATTCAGTCTGTAGTGACATTAAAGGAGACACTGTATTCAGTCTGTAGTGACATTAAAGGAGACACTGTATTCAGTCTAGTGACATTAAAGGAGACACTGTATTCAGTCTAGTGACATTAAAGGAGACACTGTATTCAGTCTGTAGTGACATTAAAGAAGACACTGTATTCAGTCTGTAGTGACATTAAAGGAGACACTGTATTCAGTCTGTAGTGACATTAAAGGAGACACTGTATTCAGTCTGTAGTGACATTAAAGGAGACACTGTATTCAGTCTAGTGACATTAAAGGAGACACTGTATTCAGTCTGTAGTGACATTAAAGGAGACACTGTATTCAGTCTGTAGTGACATTAAAGGGGACACTGTACTCAGTCTGTAGTGATGCCCCACATTAAAGGGGACACAACTCTCCTGTATTTGAGCTGGGGTATTGTGAGTTATTGGTGCATCAACAACTTTGTGAAGTCTGACTCGACGCTGCCGTGATTCAGGAGGATTCATGAACAGAGTGAGTTCAGTGGAACAGAACTCACATGTTTCATGTTCTCTCGCTGCTGTTTCAGATTCATTGTGACGTCTTTGATGTTTTAAACTGAGAAAAGTCTTTCTTTCTATTTGACAGATTTCTCAGAAAAAACACCTTTACTTTGTTGCACGTAGTTTGTGGTTTATCTGAGAATGTATTTGAGGGGATCTGGAAATGAACCAAAGCGTCAATGTGTAATAATGATTTAGCACTTGTTTAGCACTTGTTTAGCACTTGTTTAGCACTTGTTTAGCACAAGTTGCCTCCTCACACTGTTAAGTGAGAGGAGACACATTCTTCCTGAGTCACGATGTGCCCCATCCACAGACCTGGGGCTGTGTTTTGTTCCATCCATGCTGATACTGCCTGTCCTGCACACGCTGTGTGCTCTCACACTCTGTCCCTGGGGGGTCCAGCAGAGTAGGGGTGAGGCGGGGGAGGAGGAGGGGGGGCATGGCTCACCTCCCTGTGAACCTGCGGCACAGGGGCCACTTGAGCTTGAACATACGACGACAGGGGCCCGGACAAATGACGGGGCTTTCCTCCTGCACCGAGTGGGGCCAGGGGCCAGAGCTTATCTGCCATCAGCCCGGGCTCAGGGTGAGGGCGGGTGAGGGGGGGTGAGGAGGGGGTGAGGGGGTGTCAGAATACCAGCTAAATGTTTAAATTGCTTGACAGCTCACACATACTTAAAGATGCTCTGTGGAATGGGAGGGGCCGACACTTCACAACAATGCACAGGGAAACTCAAAGGACTGGATCAGGAAAGCATTCAAATCATAAATAATCACAGAACATTAAAAAGAAAGATACAAACATAAAATCTCTCTGTTGTAGCAGAAACAGAACTGTTTTTAACCTGGATTTAAACATTGTCAGAGAGGAGCCTGTCTCACACTTCAGTCCCAGTCCCTGTGCTCCTCAGAGTCCCAGCAGGAGGCCAGTCCCTGTGCTCCTCAGAGTCCCAGCAGGAGTCCAGTCCCTGTGCTCCTCAGAGTCCCAGCAGGAGGCCAGTCCCTGTGCTCCTCAGAGTCCCAGCAGGAGGCCCCTGTGCTCCTCAGAGTCCCAGCAGGAGGCCAGTCCCTGTGCTCCTCAGAGTCCCAGCAGGAGGCCAGTCCCTGTGCTCCTCAGAGTCCCAGCAGGAGGCCCCTGTGCTCCTCAGAGTCCCAGCAGGAGGCCAGTCCCTGTGCTCCTCAGAGTCCCAGCAGGAGGCCAGTCCCTTCCAATCTCTGCATCGTTGCCAATATTCCGTTTGTTTTCTCCGAGATACAAACAATGTTGTGTTTTTTTCAACACTTTTGTGGATTGGTTTTGACTAAAACAGATTTAACAGATACGATAAAAATGTTATTACTGTTTGTTTTGACGGCAGGTTGACGATGTCTTGTCTTGAGTGATATTCTCATCTCTAACCAACATGTAAAAGGCAAAACGTTTGTGTTTGAAAAGTGTGTTTAAGAACTTCCCTGGGGTCAGAACCGGTCCCTGGGGTCAGAACCGGTCATTCATAAAAACTGCTCCGTCACAGTAACTCTGAACACTGAGTTTATTAACAACAAGTGCCGGTCTCTGGGGCAAACTCTGCTGATGGATGGACGTCCCGGGTCAGAGGTGGAGGGGGGGGGGGGGGGGGGGGGGGGGGGGAGCAGAGGGGGAGAGGGGGGAGTATTGACCCCACTCCAGCGGCCTCACTTTGGGCACAGTGGAAAAAAAATACTTGGTTCACTTTATTTTTGGCAAATATTCAGATGATCGTGTGACTTTGTTTAACTAAACGATACAGTTTTTTACACTTTGGACTCTGACTCCTCCTCCCTCTGGCTCCTCCTCCTTCTGGCTCCTCCTCCCTCTGACTCCTCCTCCTTCTGACTCCTCCTCCCTCTGACTCCTCCTCCATATGACTCCTCCTCCCTCTGGCTCCTCCTCCTTCTGACTCCTCCCTCTGACTCCTCCTCCTTCTGACTCCTCCTCCCTCTGACTCCTCCTCCCTATGACTCCTCTTCCCTCTGACTCCTCCTCCCTCTGACTCCTCCTGGCTCCTCCTCATTCTGGCTCCTCCTCCTTCTGACTCCTCCCTCTGACTCCTCCGCCCTCTGGCTCCTCCTCCTTCTGACTCCTCCTCCCTCTGACTCCTCCTCCTTCTGACTCCTCCTCCCTCTGACTCCTCCTCCTCCTGGCTCCTCCTCATTCTGGCTCCTCCTCCTTCTGACTCCTCCTCCCTCTGGCTCCTCCTCCTTCTGACTCCTCCTCCTTCTGACTCCTCTTCCTTCTGACTCCTCCTCCTTCTGGCTCCTCCTCCTTCTGACTCCTCCTCCTTCTGGCTCCTCCTCCTTCTGACTCTTCCTCCCTCTGACTTCATGATATGCAGATTATTTGACAGAGTTTTTAGGCATTTCTGCTTGAAAGGAAAAACCAGCCACTGATTGCTGACTTGATGTGACATAGACTTGAATGAGGACTGTTATCGCCTGGTGCTTTGCTAACCCTCGTTTGTGTTTTTATATTTAAATTGTAGCAAAACTAAATTATTATTAACGACACAGAAACAGAGGTGTTCTTCAACGCTGTCGACAGCCGCTTCCACCATCTGTGTCTCTCATTTACACACACACACACACACACACACACACACAGCCCTGAGACACACACGCACAACACAGACACGCACACACACACAGCCCTGAGACACACACACACACACACACACACACACAGCCCTGAGACACACACACACAACACAGACACGCACACACACACAGCCCTGAGACACACACACACAACACATACACACACACACACACACACAGCCCTGAGACACACACACACAACACACACACACACACACACACACACACAGCCCTGAGACACACACACACAACACAGACACGCACACACACACACACACACACACACACAGCCCTGAACACACACACACAACACATACACACACACACACACACACACAGCCCTGACAGAGAGAAAAAAAAAAAAAAAATCGTTTTTTTTTTATTTAAAGCTGGCAGAATGTATATTATGAATCTGTTACTTTTATCAGTGCAGCACTTTTTTGTTTTATGAAATGTGCTATACACCACGTGAATAAAGTGGATTGGAAGATCAAGATGAAGCGATGCTGTATTAGTCCCACAGTGAGGAAATGTCAGTGTTGCAACAGCAGGTACAGAACGGTAGGACTGAGGAGCACACAACTCTATATTATTGTATTTATTCTATTTTTATTTAGACGTTATTAAGGACTCACGTGCAAGCACAGGATCCATCGCAAAGAAAACACAAAAGAAAAGTTTTTAAACACTAAAAAACACACTTATTTTCACATATTTTCAGCAATACACTATATATCTAACTTTACCATAATAATAATGGAAGTATAAATCCTGTATATGCTGTGTGTTTACACCTGATACATCTGCAGCAGTGTGACGTGACTCGTGTGGATCTACAGCACACATTCTGACTTTGCAGTTTGTTCATCTCTGAACCATGTGGCCGGATTTCTTTTGAGAATCCAAACATTTTCTATAAAAGAGAAATGGTTTTGATCCAGAAGTCTTTTGGCCTGAAGGTGAAATGATGAAGTTTTTGGCTTAGCTTCAGTTGTAGCTAAATCCTGAGAGAGGAGACAGAATCTGAATCTGAGATGGTCCTGTGTGTTGTTATTGTGTGTTGTTATTGTGTGTTATTATGGTGTGTTTATTATTGTGTGTGTTATTATTGTGGTGTTATTACCGTTTCATGTTTGTGTGCGGTCTGTCATCAGCCGCTTCACTGCAGGACTAGTCTGGTCTTATCTATCCGTAAACTCTGGTCCATTATCATTTCTCTGAATGTACCGTCTGGTCAAGCCCCGGTGATCCAAGATGGCGTCCTGTTCAAATGAATGGCTGGTACTCAGTAGTTCATGGGACTTCATGGAGACCGGGAGATTAGCAGAACTCGCCTATATTTGGGCATCGTCTGGTCCTCCCGGTTCTGCGCAGTGGACGAGCTCCCAGGATGCTTTGCGCCAAATACACGTGTGAGGCTTTCATGCACGTGCACAGAGGGGCTCGTCCACGCTCTGACCAATCAGAGCGGATCAGAGCTGTGGCAGAGCGGAGTCAGAGCGGGAAGGAAAGGAGCAGAGTTTGTGGCAGTAAAGTAGCCCTCGTGAATTTAGTTTGCAGTACCACAGCGCCCCCTGTGCCCATGGGTGGGACAGCTGTAAGCTAGTAATACTCTTTCCAGTTCTTATTATAGATCCATGCGTCTGGGTCCCTGTTTTTGCAGTTTCCTCGGTTGAATCCTCTCCGACCAATCAGAGAGCGGGGGAGGCGGGTGTTGTAGGTCGGTGTCGGTGACGTCAAAAGTTTGAGCTGATTTTGCTGGTTGTAGTTTGTAATGCTCTATGCTCCTCTCTGCTGGTGCTCCGGGACCAGGTGGCCTCCTCACTGCTGGTGCCCCGGGACCATGTAGCCTCTTCATCAGGCCCACACAGCGGATGACACAGCACTATTTTAACAGAAAGGTTGAACTCGGCTGCACTGGGAGCAAAGCTAAAAGTATCAGACCTGACTCATCTCATGTGAGACTCTGAACTGTGTTTGTTTGACAGAAGATAGAAACACCTCCTCCTCTCTCCTCTTCCTCTTTCTCCTCTCTCCTCTTCCTCCTCTCTCCTCTTCCTCCTCCTCCTACTCTGAGCTCTCTCTCTGCTCACAGATTATCCTTATTCTTTATTTGCTGAATGAGTCTCTTCTTTTCTTCTCCTTTAATCACATTATCATTTACAGTATGTTTCTCCTGTGTGTGAAGGGAAGAATGACGGCATCTGTGAGTATGATGTAGTATTTTTATTACTACAGTGGCTTAGATGGTAGAGCTGGGCCTGAAGGTCGTGGGTTCAAGCCCACGAAAAGACCTACTTCACGACTCCCATTGATGTCTGCTGTCGTTGTGTCCTTGGGCAAGATACTTAACCCCACTTTGCCCGAAGCCCCCGCTGAAAGATCTCGGCTCTTGTGGACTCACCACCTGCAGGAGGATCAGTGAGGGGCTGGTGCTCTGACTGCCACCCCCCGACCCAGAAATGGATTAAGGGGAAGAAAATGGATGGATGGATGTACAGTCTGCCTCAGACCTGTGCTCACGACACTGCAGCCTCTCAGCTGTTCGAGCAGCAACCCACCTCCTCCCCATCACTGCCTCTTCTGTGGGGGGGTCATGTCTTCGGGCTCAGCTTCTCTCCCATCAGGGTCTGAGCCCTGAGGTTCACATGGTCATAATCAGAGACTAGACCCGAGTAGACCCGAGTAGACAACAATGCATCTGCTTTAATCATCCATTCATGCGATCATGGCAATAAATATAATCCTAATGCGATCTTTGTCTGGAGTCTTTCAGATTGAATGGGATTTATCTACAATAGTTGAAACGACCGTGGGGGGTCCGCCTCCTCCTCCTCCTCCGGCACAGCAGCAAACACCGAGACCGAGGGAAGACCAGATTTACGTCATAAAACAGTCTAATGTTTGTGTTGATGCGACGGAGCAGCATCATTCTCCTCCTAACGCCTGTTTGAGGAGGAAAAGGCTAATCCCGGCACGAGGCGCTGGGATTTCACAGTTTTGCCGTGGCTTATCGCTTCCAGAACGCCGAGTGCGCATTCTGATGCTTCCGCCGCCGCTAACGACATCACACGTTTGCTGTTGTGGGAAATCAATGATGTCGGCGTGAGCGGAGCAGCAGCTGTGGCCGGTCTGCTCCACACTGTCTCCCAAACTCTCATAGACCCTCGGACGGAGAGAGAGAGAGAGAGAGAGAGAGAGAGAGAGAGAGAGAGAGAGAGAGAGAGAGAATGCATACATATGGACAAGCAAGAGTTTAATCAAATCAGAAACGATTATTTAAATTTGTCAATGATTAGGGTTCATTTTGATCTGTATCGGCTGCAGTGTTAGGTGGGGATAACTGTGTCTGTGTCTCTCTGTCTATCTCTCTCTCTTTCTCTCTCTCTGTCTCTCTCTCTCTCTCTCTGTGTGTTTGTCTGAGTCTGTGTCTAACGCAACTCCTGAAAGCCATGGTTACCAAGGAATTTCCAGACCAGAGCAAAGTCGATCTTAGTAGACCAGAGTAGACCAGACCAGAGCAGACCTGAATAGACCCGAGCAGACCAGACCAGACCAGAGCAGACAGAAGCACGTTAGCAAAGCGCCTGTAAAAGTCTCTCATTGATTTATTGAAGGAAAAGCGTTTTGTAACAACACGACGCCGCTGCAGACACAGAGTCAGTGATGATTTAATTGCGCAGTATCGGACAAAGTGCTGGTGTGTGAAATTCATTTGTGCGGCGGAGAAAGCCACGCTGCGACTCCTCCCTGTGGGAACATTCTCTTTAAATGTATTCAATAAACAGTGTTAAAGCCCCATTAAGTGCACGCTCCAGACGGAAAAGCCACTTCCACATTTTTACACACACCAGGGAGCCGTCTGTATTCAGGACTCAGGACGTAAAGCATCGTGATAAATATAAATCTGATGCAGCCGCAAACACATCACTGGGGCTGCGACATTCTGGCACTTTTCGAAGACGGAAACTTTCAATGGGAATAAATGGGATTTTTTAGGGGATTTGAGTGAATAAATGGGAATTTTGATATTTGAAGGGTGTGTGGATCTTTCCTGACAGTTTTGCAGCACACTGACAGAAGCAACTGTGCCATTGGCCCCTCCCACCACCAACAACCATTCACACACACTCCAGGCTCATTCTAATGTGGGGGAAGTGTGTTGCCTAAAGACACAACCACAGTTTGGCACTTTACAGCCGCCCCACTGTGGCACCTGCTGTTCCCAGAGGTCTCCCATCACAGTCTCTCTCTCTCTGTCTGTCTCTCTCTCTCTGTCTCTCTCTCTGTCTCTGTCTCTCTCTCTCTGTCTCTCTCTGTCTCTCTCTCTCTCTCTCCCTCTGGCTCTCTCTCTCTCTGTCTCTCTCTCTCTCTCTCCCTCTGGCTCTCTCTCTCTCTGTCTCTCTCTCTCTCTCTCTCTGTCTCTCTCACTCTCTCTGTCTCTCTCTCCCTCTGTCTCTCTCTCTCTGTCTCTCTCTCTCTGTCTGTCTCACTCTCTCTCTCTCTCTCTCTCTCTCTGTCTCACTCTCTCTCTCTCTCTCTCTCTCTCTCTGTCTCTCTCACTCTCTCTCTCTCTCTCTCTCTCTCTCTCTCACTCTCTCTGTCTCTCTCACTCTCTCTGGTCTCTCTCTTCTCTCTCTCTCTCTCTCTCTCACGCTCTCTGTCTCTCTCTCTCTCTCTCTCTCTGTCTCTGTGTGTGTGTCTGAGTCTGTGTCTACCAAGGAATTTCCAGACAAGAGCCAAGTAGACCAGAGCAGACCAGAGCAGACCAGAGCAGACCAGAACTTTTTCTCTGTCAGCTGAGGTCGAGCTGTTTTAGTTTACATTGAGTTCTATGGGGACATTTCTGTGTAACTCACGTGAATTTAGTCTGGTTTAGTCTGGTTCAGTCTGGTTTAGTCTGCAGTACTGTGAGAAATCCCCCGAGCACATGAGTCCTTCAGCTCCAAGCTACTAATACTCTATCCAGTTACAATAATAGATCCATGGGACAGACCTGTTGGAGACCTGGGGCTGGGGTTTCACATGTCTGTTGGTGAAGCTGAAGTCGCCTGAATGATGTCCCCTGACGTCACTAACTATATGAATCTCTACATTCTCGTGGATCAAATGCAGAGGGCAATAACGTCCACCTCCAATGACATGATTACGGCCTAAAACTGAATATTTGACACTTGTGCTTTACAGAGCGGCAGGAGGCAGCGCCGACGACTTCTTAAGAGACGCAAAATAATCTCAAAGCCTCCAGAAAGTGTCCCGTTTTAATTGGAATTGCCAGGCTTCTGATTCTTCTTTTGGAGATTAATTATTTGAAAAAGCTCCAATGGCAGCTCTCAGTGTAAATATATTGAAATGATGTTCGGCTGCAGACTGTGAAGTGTCCCAGAGCGAAGGACTCTAAAGTTAGACGTTTTAGACTGGATTCTTTATTCGTCATTTTTTTCAATATTGACTTTAAATAATTAGTTTTATCTTAAAATACTTATTCTGCTTGGACCTGCTTCAGTCCTGGTTCAGTCCCGCTGTAGACTTGCTTTAGTCCTGGTTCAGTCCCGCTGTAGACTTGTTTTAGTCCTGGTTCAGTCCTGCTGTAGATCTGATTTTGTCCTGGTTCAGTCCTGCTGTAGACCTGCTTTAGTCCTGGTTCAGTCCTGCTGTAGACCTGCTTTAGTCCGATGTTCAGTCCTGCTGTAGACCTGCTTTGGTCCTGGTTCAGTCCTGCTGTAGACCTGCTTTAGTTCTGGTTCAATCCTGCTGTAGACCTGCTGTAGTCCTGGTTCAGTCCTGCTGTAGACCTGCTTTAGTCCTGGTTCAGTCCTGCTGTAGACCTGCTTTAGTTCTGGTTCAATCCTGCTGTAGACCTGCTGTAGTCCTGGTTCAGTCCTGCTGTAGACCTGCTTTAGTCCTGGTTCAGTCCTGCTGTAGACCTGCTTTAGTCCTGGTTCAGTCCTGCTGTAGACCTGCTTTAGTCCTGGTCCAGTCCTGCTGTAGACCTGCTTTAGTCCTGGTTCAGGGCTTTTGTCTTTGGACTCAGCTCTGTTTCTGTTTTTGTTTATTCATTGGTGAAACATGAGATTATGTAATGACAGAATACATTTACTTTGGACTCTCCAGTCTCTCTCAGGTCTCCTTCTGGTCTCTCTCTGGTCTCTCTCAGGTCTCTCTCTGGTCTCTCTCTCTGGTCTCTCTGTGGTCTCTCTCTCTGGTCTCTCTCTCTGTCTCTCTGGTCTCTCTCTCTGGTCTCTTTCTCTGGTCTCTCTCTGGTCTCTCTCTGGCCTCTCTGGTTTCTCTCTGGGCTCTCTCTGGTCTCTCTCTCTCTCTCTCTGGTCTCTCTCTCACTCGCTGGTCTCTCTCTCACTCTCTGGTCTCTATCTCTGGTCTCTCTCGCTCTCTCTCTCTGGTCTCTCTCTCACTCGCTGGTCTCTCTCTCACTCTCTGGTCTCTCTCTCTCACTCTCTCTGGTCTCTCTCTCTCTTTCTGGCCTCTCTCTGGCCTCTCTCAGGTCTCTCTCTCTTGTCTCTCTCTGGCCTCTCTGGTTTCTCTCTGGTCTCTCTCTGGTCTCTCTCTCTGGTCTCTCTCTGGTCTCTCTCTCTCTCTGGTCTCTCTCTGGCCTCTCTCTGGGCTCTCTCTGGTCTCTCTCTGGTCTCTCTCTCTGGTCTCTCTGGTCTCTCTCTGGTCTCTCTCTGGCCTCTCTCTCGGGTTTCTCTCTAGTCTCTCTCTGGCCTCTCTCTGGGCTCTCTCTGGCCTCTCTCTGGTCTCTCTGGTCTCTCTCTCTCTCTAGCCTCTGTCTGGTCTCTCTCTGGTCTCTTTCTGGTCTCTGTCTCTGGCCTCTCTCTGGGCTCTCTCTGGTCTCTCTCTGGTCTCTCTCTGGTCTCTCTCTGGTCTCTCTCTGGCCTCTCTCTGGTCTCTCTCTGGTCTCTCTCTGGCCTCTGTCTGGTCTCTCTCTGGTCTCTCTCTGGCCTCTCTCTGGTCTCTCTCTGGTCTCTCTCTGGCCTCTCTCTGGTTCTCTCTCTGGTCTCTCTCTCTCTGGTTTCTCCAAATACCAAGTATCAAACCGTACAAACCAAACCCAGTGATTGTTTTTGAGTTGGACCAGAGCTTCTTACGATCACGGAGCGTCGCATGAATAATAAATGTAGGTTTTGAGTTCCGTGAAAACAAATCCCAGATCGATGCAGGCCGTGTTCAGCCGGCGGGAGAGAGAGCGAGGCCCAAAAAACATTTCAGATTCACGTTTCAATGAGAGCGTAGCAGAGACGCACTGAGGCCCGCGAGGCTGAAACGGGAGCTCAGGGCTGACTGGAGAACGGGTCCAGTATAGATCTGGATACTCGGCTGTTGTGGCACCTGTGGATCACTTTTCTATCTCAATATTGATCTAAACATGTTTTTGTTATCGTTCCATTCGCAAATCTTCTATAAATAAAGCAGAATGGACTCAAATGAAGATAAATACGGCTCAATTCAGGCCGTTTTTAAACTATTATCTCATTTAAGACATTATTATCCACACATCTCTCACAGATCGCATCGCTTTGTTGAATCTCGACTCAGCAGCATTTGTCCTGGGCTGTGTAGCTATGGTTCAGGTGCTCTGGTCTCTCTCTGGTCTCTCTCTGGTCTCTCTCTGGTCTCTCTCTGGTCTCTCTCTGGACTCTCTCTGGTCTCTCTCTGGTCTCTCTCTGGTCTCTCTCTGGACTCTCTCTGGTCTCTCTCTGGTCTCTCTCTGGTCTCTCTCTGGTCTCTCTCAGGTCTCTCTCTGGTCTCTCTCTGGTCTCTCTCTGGTCTCTTAGGTCTCTCTCAGGTCTCTCTCTGGTCTCTCTCTGGTCTCTCTCTGGTCTCTCTCTGGTCTCTCTCTGGTCTCTCTCTGGTCTCTCTCTGGTCTCTCTCAGGTCTCTCTCTGGTCTCTCTCTGGTCTCTCTCTGGTCTCTCTCAGGTCTCTCTCAGGTCTCTCTCTGGTCTCTCTCTGGTTTCTCTCTGGTCTCTCTCTGGTCTCTCTCTGGTCTCTCTCAGGTCTCTCTCTGGTCTCTCTCTGGTCTCTCTCTGGTCTCTCTCAGGTCTCTCTCTGGTCTTTCTCTGGTCTCTCTCTGGTCTCTCTCAGGTCTCTCTCAGGTCTCTCTCTGGTCTCCCTCTGGTCTCTCTCTGGTCTCTCTCTGGTCTCTCTCTGATCCTTATCTGGTCTCTCTCTGGTCTCCCTCTGGTCTCTCTCTGGTCCTAATCTGGTCTCTCTCTGGTCTCCCTCTGGTCTCTCTCTGGTCTCTGTGGTCTCCCTCTGGTCTCTCTTCGGTCTCTCTCTGGTCCTTCTCTAGTCTCTCTCTGGTCTCTCTCTGGTCTCCCTCTGGTCTCTCTCTGGTCCTTCTCTGGTCTTTCTCTGATATCTCTCTGGTCTCTCTCTCTGGTCTCTCTCTGGTCTCTCTCTGGTCTCCCTCTGGTCTCTCTCTGGTCTCTCTCTGGACTCTCTCTGGACTCTTGCTCTTGTCTCTCCCTCTGGTCTCTGTTCTCTCTCTGTGGTCTCTCTCTGGTCTCTCTCTCACTCAGATCTCTCTCTGTTCTCTCACTGGTCTCTCTCTCTCTCTCTGGTCTCTCTGGTCTCTCTCTGCTCTCTCTCTGGTCCCTCTCTGCTCTCTCTCTTGTCTCTCTGGTCTCTCTCTCTCGGGTCTCTCTCTGGTCCCTCTCGGGTCCCTCTCTGGTCTCTCTCTGGTCCCTCTCGGGTCCCTCTCTGGTCTCTCTCTGGTCCCTCTCTGTTCTCTCTCTAGTCTCTCCCTGCTCTCTCGCTGGTCTCTTCAGCTCAGTCCTCTCTCTGTCCAGGTTTCAGGTGCCAGTGACCCATATCCATCACGCTGTCTCCTGCTGTATTCCCACAATACATCACGTGACCTGCCCCCCGCGGTCACATGACTGCCCCTCCACGGTCACCTAGCATCGCAATAATCCTCCATCCCCTTCAGCTCCACACCTCTGACCCGCTCGTCCTGCCACAGCCACAAATCAGCCAGAAACCATCTCAGTTCTTTCTTTTTTAAAGCTTTCCGTGTCGCTCGGTCCTGGCTCTGAAACCGTTATATACAATATCAAACAGGAAAGTGTTTTAGCATCTGTAGAACAGCTTTTTCAGAGAGAAAAGTGGAGAACAAGGACCACCGAACCTCAAAAAGTGACTCAAAAAGCTCTTTCCTATGCATGTTAGGAGTGGTTATTGGCCAAAGTTTATAGGATTGTGATATTTAGGCCACAATTCAATATTAGTGCGACTGGGCCCACCCCAGTCTGGTCTTACCATGTGTAAACTCTGGTCCATGATCATTTCCTACATGTATGTCTGGTCTTACCATGTGTAAACTCTGGTCCTTGATCATCTCCTACATGTATGTCTGGGTCTGATCCTAGTAGCTGCAGTTTTCTTGGTTAAATCCCTTCGTTCTGGGAGAGAATAATCAAATGTAAAGTGTCTAAAAAGCGCTAAACCAATGTACTTTTATTATTATTCGCCAAGATCATGTTTCAGGGTCAAAGTGCAGATCCGAGCTGTAACCCTCTGTGTCTCTGTGTCTCTGTGCTCAGGGTGAAGGCCAAGAAGGGAGTGAACCTGCAGCAGACCCGATCGCTGAGCGCTCAGTGTAAGGTGGACTGGGAGGTCCAGTCCGGGGCCAAACACTCCATCAGCACCATCCAGGTCAGCCGGAACCGAGGGGCCAAGCCGGGGTGAGTCCACCGTCCACACGTCATAACGTCCACAGTCCACATGCACCAAACACACAGTCCAGACTGAGACATTCTTATCCTGCTTCTGTGCTTTTGTCTCCAGGAGGTTAAGCTACTATAACGGCTGCTCACAGGTCTCTCCAAAACACTGCAGCTCGAGTCCTGACTAGATCCAGAAAGAACCATCACATTAGTCCTGACTAGATCCAGAAAGAACCATCACATTAGTCCTGACTAGATCCAGAAAGAACCATCACATTAGTTCTGACTAGATCCAGAAAGAACCCTCACATTAGTCTTGACTAGAACCAGGAGGTACCATCCCATTAGTCCTGGTCTAAGGTTTCTGCACCTGTGGCTCAGAGAATAGACTTTAAAGCAGCTCTGTTTGTCTCTACCAAGCCCCGGTGATCCAAGATTCCTATTCAAATGAATGGCTTGTGCTCAGTAGTTCATGGAACATACACGGGACTGAAAGATTAGCAGAACTCGCCTATACTTGGGCATAGACGTCGGAACTAGGGGTGCGGGGGGTGCGGCCGCACCCCCTCCGCGTGTGGCGGGAGCGAGAAGTTATCACTATCCTGCGTTCCTTGCAGCCCAAAACCCGCTCCATGCTGTCGGAGGTGCTTATGAAGCTCTGTCTGGCTAATATCTGTCGCAGCCTCTGAGTGCTCTTTCTCAGCCTTGCGCAGATTAGAGACCTGGCTACACCAGTGGCGTGCGGTGGGGTGGGGGATCAATCATATGATTATACATCATATAAACCTTATACACAATTTGTTTGGCTACAGCAGAATAAGATTTAATGTCTGCATAGTTTTCTCATACAAAACGCAAACGTTTGTAAAAAGTACAAAGTGCGTTATGGGCCTTACCTTAGGTATTAATGAACAGCACAGACCACTTCAGTTAGGACCAGTTTCATGTTTAAGTCCAGATAATAGTTTGAGCACAGACATGTAATCCTCCATTTGGAAATAAGTTCAATGAGTTTTAAAAAGTAAAACAAACGGGTGTCTCCTCCGTAAACTCCTCGAGTTTTGCTGCAGCCGACTCCCGGGTAAATCCAATTTCTAAATTCAACCTTACCCTTCACCTCCTTTTCTTTTGATTCAGATCATCATTGGAAGCAAAACATTACTCTATGTGCATTTTAAATGATCTTAAAATGTATTATAGGTATGTTAGCCAAACCTGTAGCTGCCCTTAGCAGAAGAAGAACAAGAAAGGAGCTTTCTGATGGAATTGGATGCAGCCAAAGTTTGGGCACACAAGCGCCCCCTTGAGGCTTTCCTCACTTACAAGCTGTGGTTGAGCGCGATTAAGACCCATATATGCTTCAAAAACACAATTTATGAGCCATCCTCTTAAATGTAAACATGTTGATTGTAAATTAAATATTTTTGAACTTTTTAAACTGTGATAAACAGAGAAAACAGTTTGATAGCACCTCACAGGACTCTCCCTGTGAGCTGTTGCTTTTACGTCTCCCAAGAGAGGCTTGCCTCACAGCGCCGCTCTGTCAAATCTGCAATTTCAAGGTATAAATAAATGAAATAAGGCAAAGTTACATTGAAATAATGTACAGCACAAATCACTTGATAAAGTGACCAAACATTATTGTATCCATTTTATTACTTTTCTTTCTATGATCTTATGCGGACCACCTATAGGTGAGGGCCTTACCTGCCTCATCTCATCTGACCGCACGTCACTGGGCTACACAACACAATGAAGCCACCGGAGAGACTGACGCATGAATGCGTATTGAAAAAAACAATGTTCAGTTTGATAAGTGACTTGCTTGATATATATTGTTTATTTTTTGTTTTTCTTAACAATTAAGATGGTATGTTATTATCCAGTGTAATCCAAGTATGAGTCTCTCCCTCGACTCTCCCAACAAAAACCCGCCCCCCCTCTCAGAAAATAGTTCCGACGTCCATGTACTTGGGCATCGTCTGGTCCTCCAGGTTCTGTGCAGTGGATGAACTCCCATGATGCTTTGTGTCAAATACGCGTGTGTGGCTCACATGCACGTGCACAGAGGGGCTCGGCCGCGCTCTGACCAATCAGAGCAGCAGCAGACCGAAGCCAGAGCGGGAAGGAAAGGAGCAGAGTTTGTGGCAGTAAAGTGTGGATTTAAAGAAAACTGAAGGATTTAACAACAACAAAAAGGATGACAAGGGACACTAAAATCCCCACAAAATCAAATCTTTATGAAAGCTGTAGGTTCTCTGTCAGGTTCTCTGTCAGCTGAGGTTGAACTGTTTTAATTTACATTGAGTTCTATGGGACTTTTTTCTGGGTAGCTCACAAGAATTTAGTCTGCAGTACCACAGCGCCCCCTGTGGCACTTTTGGCCAAGTGTGGGACAGCTCTAAGCTTGTAATACCCTATCCAGTTATTATTATAGATCCATGCTCTTTCATGGCCTCGCACCAAAGTATATCTGAGACATTTTAGTGCCATAGGAAACAACTCTGAGGAGCACAGGGACCGGCCTCCTGCTGGGACTCTGTGGAGCACAGGGACTGGCCTCCTGGACCCAGAGTCAGAACTAAACATGAGGAGGCAGTGTTTCTGATTCATGCAGCTAAAATCTCGAACAATCTTCCTGAAAATGAGACGGGCTTCTTCTCTGACAATGTTCAAATCCAAGTAAAAAATAGTTTGTGTATCTGTTTTACAACTGAAGGATTGTATCTTTTTAATGCACTGTGATTATTTAATGCCTTGTGTTATTGTGTGTTTTGATTGGCACTTAGAGTTGTGTATGAACTGTGCTATACAGATAAAGTTGTCTTGCCATAATGTACATCCATAGTCCAAAAATACATGTGAGCAAACTCTGAGAAGTCATGGATCTTCTCGCCAAAAGTGTCAACTCAAAGTGTAGAACATTACACTTCTACACTTTTACACATTACACATTAGAGCATTACAATCATAAATAATCACACTACATTAAAAATAATAAAGATAAGCCTGAGTTGTGGCAGAGGGGGACGCGAGCTCAGGGCCATAACAAACAGGAAGCAGAACCTTTTTAATCATAACAACATGAGTCAAACATTTAACAAACAGAAGGAATGAGAAGTGAGCGTGTAATTTATCAGTCGTGTGGCGCAGGTGAACACATGTGGTGCGAAAACAAAACAAAACTCAAAAGTGCAGTCAGGGATTGAGAGACTGAGCAGCACAGCACCCCCTGCTGGACACTGTTTTTACCTGGGGCTGAACATTGTCAGAGCAGAAACCTGTCTCACATTTTCAGGAAAAAAATTAGCTGTTTACATCATGTTTTGTCCTGACTCTGGGACCAGCAGGAGGCCAGTCCCTGTGCTCCTCAGACCCAGCAGGAGGCCAGTCCCTGTGCTCCTCAGAGTCCCAACACAAAGCCAGTCCCTGTGCTCCTCAGAGGACACTATATTTGAGTCTGAAAGTCTGAAAGTTTGAAAGCAGAGTCTATTGTTAACTGCGGCGTGTCAGTGATCGCTGACCCGGGTCGTGTTGCCTTCAGGGCCCTGTCCCAGAGAGGTGACAGGGGGTGAAGGGGGGTGAGGGGGGTCCTGAGGGCAGAGGTGACGGAGGAAGGGGGGGTGGAGGATCTTAAACACAGTCCACAGACCTGAGGTGACGTCTGCTGGAGGGGAGAGCTGGGCCTGGGGCAGTGAAGGAAAGAGCACTTTGACATTTCACAGAGATATATTAGAATCCTGGATGATGTTTTGCTTAGGTCATGGCCCCCTAGTGGCGAAGGGTGGTACTGCATAAACACAGACACTAGGAACCTGGAATATCAAAGCTGATCTGTGACAATGAGATGGACATAATGAGTCAGAAAAACTTGCAAATACTCAGTGATGGGAAAGCTACTTGAGTGAGCTAAGCTACAAGCTACTCTACAATAAATTCAGCTTCACTACACAGAAGCTACCACCCATGAAAATGTAGCAAGCTAAGTTACAAAATCCTGTCAAAAGTAGCTTGATAAATAGAAGCTACTTTCAATTAAACAAAGTGCAGTCCATGCAAGTTTAATGATAAATACAACTATCAGTCAGATAAAGGTTAAAATTTAGATATTTGTTGAACAAAAGCCCAAAACAACAAAACACAAGAAACCCTTTTGCAATTATAAATAAAATAAATTGAGAAATTATAGCAATAAGCCACTACAAATTAACATGTATTTCATTAGAACTGTTTTTTAACTGTTGTTCATAACAATAGCCCAATAAACACATAACAAATGTGAATCCGAGCCACAAAGCAAGAACACCCTCTGAAACTGAAAAGAAAAAACATATGTATAAGTTTACAAATGAACTGTACTAAGAACTATGTCTGACCAGTTTATGAAAACAATCGTAACAACAACATACAACCTTATTATCAGTCACAGAGGAACTTTCTCTGGGATTACAAAGTAGGCTCTGAAAACATATTTCTGTTCACTCGTCTCCACTAAAGTGACGTGCTTTTGGAGGTATGGCCACGGTAACGGTTTCTCTGTGTCCTGTCGCTCCCCTCCAGCAGCGGGTGCGAGTGTGTGCACGTGTGTTTGTGCGTGTGTGTGTGTGTGTGCACGTGTGTTCGTGTGTGTGTGTGTGTGTGTGCACGAGTGTTCGTGCGTGTGTGTGTGTGTGTGTGTTCGTGCGTGTGTGTGTGTTCGTGCGTGTGTGTGTGTGTGCACGTGTGTTCGTGCGTGCACAAGTGTTCGTGCGAGTGTGTGCGTATGCGCCGTCACCAACTCATGTACACTAGTATTCTGTCTTCCTAATTTGTTTGTTTTGGCTGCGGGAAAATGCTGTAATATATGAAATGGCTGTGAGAAAATAGCTCTGGAGGACGCTACCGCACTACTTACTCAATAAATAGCTTAGCTACAGAAAAGTTACTTGGTTTTGTAAATAGTGACGCTACCGTCAAGCTACTGAAAAATGTAGTATCGCTATAAGTAGCGATCCAGGACTGAGGCTGTAGATCCAGGACTGAGGCTGTAGATCCAGGACTGAGGCTGTAGAACCAGGACTGAGGCTGTAGAACCAGGACTGAGGCTGTAGAACCAGGACTGAGGCTGTAGAACCAGGACTGAGGCTGTAGAACCAGGACTGAGACTGTAGATCCAGGACTGAGGCTGTAGACCCAGGACTCAGAGTGTAAATGACACACAGATAGATTTCATGTTGTATTGTGTAACCTACCCACAATAATAATAGGAATAACAGTAAATCCATCCAAAAAAACCAAAACCAGATACATACTGAGCGGGAGTGTGCGTCTGCGTGAGTAAATATCCAGTTTCTGTGGTGTCTTTCGTTACTTGGTGCGTTGTCTGAGACTCGAGCTGCGGTGACGCTCCTCAATCGATTGGACAGATTGTATTTAGAAGCGTCTCAGTCTCCAGAGGCTGTAATGGAAACGTATTGCTATGAAATGGCCTCACAACCTGTATCGTTTTTGGGATAGAGCTTTCAAAGAGGCGTGCATCCCGGAGCAGATCAAAGATAACAGACTAACATTGTGTTCAAGAAATCCTATTTCCGTTTGCTCCGAGCCGAGAGTCTTTCACCTGTCTGTGCTCTCAATAACACTTGTGTAGGGCTTTACCTTCACCATTCACGCTGTCAGAGACTACATCTTTTCATTCGCTGATACCGCTTCCATCTCAAACACTTTTTGTGCAGCTTTGTGAGGCAGAAGGAGAGCAGGTAATGGGTACAAACTCTGGTCCACAGGGATCAGTGACCACGACATGTCTCGCTCTTCTTCGTGTGTCAGCCCGTCCTCGCCCCATGTGTGATAGTATCTGGTGGGGACTCCACACAACAGGCGAAACTTGTGAAATTATAGCCATATACCTTACGTAGAAATAATTAACAAATGGATTAAACACATGGATTATCATAGGTACACTTCAACTATGAGAGACAGAATGTGAAAAAAAAATCTCACATTGTAGGATTTTTAAAGAATTTATTTGTACATTATGGTGGAAAATAAGTATTTGGTCACTTCAAACTAGGAAGATCTCTGGCTCTCACAGACCTGTAACTTCTTCTTTAAGAAGCTCTTCTGTCCTCCACTCATTACCTGTAGTAATGACACCTGTTTGAACTCGTTATCTGTATAAAAGATAGCCCAAATGTAGCCCAAAACGATATTTCAACCACTGATAGTCTCCCTCGATCTGGGGCTCCACGCAAGACCTCATCCCGTGGGGTCAAAATGATCATGAGAACGGTGATCCCAGAACCACACGGGGCGGACCTGGTGAATGACCTGCAGAGAGCTGGGACCAAAGTAACAAAGGTTACCATCAGTAACACACTACGACGACAGGGAATCAAATCCTGCAGTGCCAGACGTGTCCCCCTGCTGAAGCCAGTGCATGTCCAGGCCCGTCTGAAGTTTGCCAGAGAGCACATGGATGATACAGCAGAGGATTGGGAGAATGTCATGTGGTCAGATGAAACCAAGGTACAACTGTTTGGAATAAACTCAACTCGTCGTGTTTGGAGGAAGAAGAATACAGAGTTGCATCCCAAGAACACCATACCTACTGTGAAGCATGGGGGTGGAAACATCATGCTTTGGGGCTGTTTTTCTGCTAAGGGGACAGGACGTCTGATCCGTGTTAAGGAAAGAATGAATGGGGCCATGTATCGTGAGATTTTGAGCCAAAACCTCCTTCCATTGAGTTGATTTTTTGTTATTGAACAAATACTTATTTTCCACCATAATTTACAAATAAATTCTTTAAAAATCCTACTATGTGAATTCCTGGATTTTTTTTCATATTCTGTCTCTCACAGTTGAAGTGCACCTATGATGAAAATTACAGACCTTTGTCATTATTTTAAGTGGGAGAACTTGCACAATCGTTGGCTGACTAAATACTTTTTTGCCCCATTGTATATAGTAATTTCAGACCGGTGTGGGTGGGTCCCGGCCCATAAAGTGTCCATGAGCACATGCACTGACATGTAATCTGGTGGGGGTGTACCCGGAAACAGAATTAGCAAATGAATTCTTAAGTTTCCTTTTCTCAGTTGGTAGAGTATTAACCTATGGGCCTGAAGATTGTGGGTTCAAGTCAGTCTTTACAGGATGGACCAAAAGTTGGCTCTTGGCCCAAAGCTCCGTTCCACATGTGTGTCAATGCTGAGGGGGGGGGATTGTTTTGGTCCACTCTAGTTTACTCGCTGTGAATTTTTGAAGTCTCTCGTTCAAATGAATGGACCTTGCGCCGGCTGACACATGCGCAGATGCGTTTTTTCACAATTTTCTTGTGGGCGGGACCACTCGCGGCCATTTTGGATTGCTCCAGTACAGCACATTTGGCACAACTGTTTTAACGGCGGAGATAGGCGTGACTCTGTCTGTTAATATTTACAGTGTATGGTTCAAGCCCACCATGAGACCTACTTCATGACTTCCACATATGTCTGCCGTCGTTCTATCCTTGGGCAAGACACTTAACCCCACTTTGCATGAAGTTCGCACTGAAAGATCAAGGCACCTGTGGACTCAGCACCTGCAGGAGGATCAGTGAGGGGCGGGTGTTCTGTGGAGTGGAGGCAGCTCAGCCCCCCGACCCAGAAGTGGATTAACAAAATGGATGGATGGATAATTCTAAAATAGAATTACAATAGTAGTGGTCGGTTCAGACCGTTTTCTCTGCTCTGGTTCAGAGTGAAATTCTGAATGCTTTATTATCATTCCTCCAGTGGATTTTCCGCTTGATCTTCTTGGCTGGACCTTCCTCTCTGCTCTGGATCCGTGTAAAACCATAAACTCTTTTACTACAGTCACATTTACAGCTAGAAAAGATCAAATAAAAGTGTGATTGTAAAACAGTGATGGAAGCGGTCTCTGCTCGGTGCATCTCTCTCTCTCTCTCTCTCTCTCTCTCTCTCTCTCTCTCTCTCTCTCTCTCTCTCTCTCTCTCTCTCTCTCTCTCTCTCTCTCTCTCTCTCTCTTCCATCTGCTCTGACTCTCCACAGCCCTGAGTGAAAGCAAAAATGTTTGATCTGAAGCGCGACATGTGCGGACCTTGTAGACAAACGACGGTGACCTATTGTTGAGAAGCAGCAAGCAGAGCGACGGAGGTGGAGCAGGAGGAGCAGAGCGTGACCTTCTCTGCTCACGGCTCCTCGTCTCCGCTGACCTTCCCCTTGCGCTGCTGCTGATTGGAAAAAGATGTGAACAAAAGTCATACAAATGTAGAACCGGCTCTGTCTGTTCAGAGTCAAACGCAACATTTCATTCTAGAGAGATTACAGAGACAGATTCTTTGTTGATCCCACACTGGAACCATGCAGGCGTCCAACACTAACACATCCATACAAATGAGTAAATAAATACATATATATACAAGTTACTAACGATATTCATAAAGTACAGCAGCAGCAGGTGGGGAAGCGGCTGGGGATGAGCTGCTTCCTCTGGATGATGTTTGCAGAGTCCGATTGGTTCAAAACATTTTCTCTGCTCTGGTTCAGAGTGAAATTCTGAATGCTTTAAAAACATTATTCAACCACAGAAAATGGCATTTCTGTAGTGGATTTCTGTTTGTGTGTGTGTGTTTGTGTGTCTGCGTGTGTCTGTTTGTGTCTCTGTTGTCTATGTGTGTGTGTTGATGCATGTGTGTCTGTGTGTGTGTGTCTCTATGTTTATGTCTGTGTGTGTGTCTGTGCGTGTGTGTGTGTCTCTCTCTCTGTGTTTATGTCTGTGTGTGTGTGTCTCTCTCTGTGTTTATGTATGTGTGTGTGTGTCTGTGTATGTGTGTGTCTCTGTGTGTGTTTATGTGTGTGTGTCTCTGTGTGTGTTTATGTGTGTGTGTGTCTGTGTATGTGTGTGTCTCTCTCTGTGTTTATGTATGTGTGTGTGGGTATGTGTCTCCCTGTCACTGTATGTGTGTGTCTCTCTCTCTGTGTTTTTGTGTGTGTGTATCTCCCTGTCTGTGTGTGTGTCTGTGTGTATGTGTGTGTGTAAAATTGTCTGTGCATCTTGGAGGTTTGAAATAACCCTAAAGAAAGAGTCCAGGACCAGAGTTTCATTGGTTTAGATCTCTCAGTCCTAGATTCTTAATCACATCAGTTGGTACGACCCCGAAGTCCTCACATGTGGTCTGTGATGTCACACGCAGGGAGGCCCAGGGCAGTCTGGAGCTCATGCAGCTGGACTTCGAGATGGAGAACTTCACCAGCCTGTCAGTCACCCGCCGGATCAACTGGAACGTGGACTACCGAGGCCAGAGTCCCGCCCCCGACTCGGACAAAGTGGTGACCGAGTTGACCGTGGTGCAGAAGGACATCCAGGCCATCATCCCCATCGCCATGGTAACTGCATCCATGATTATTCACGGCCAAAGTCGTGGTTTCAATCAGTCTCAATCAGTGGTTTATGATTGGTTGATTACTCTTACTCTATACTAGTGTGAAAAACGTGTTTCTATATTCTCTACGCACCAGGAAGACACCAAGCTTGTGTTGGGCTTGATTTTTCACTTAAAATGTCAACATAAGTGAGTTCTAAATGTTAGGGTTAGTGCCGTGATGGGAGACCTCTGGGAACAGCAGGGGTCAAACTGTGGTTGTGTCCTGAGGCAAGACACTTCACCCACATGGCCTAGAGCAGGGGTCTCCAACCTTTTTCAATCAGAGAGCTACTTTTATACAAACAAAAAGGCATAGAGCTACTCCTTTTAAGAGTTGTTATAAAAATCTAGCTAAAAATTACGACAAAACATGGAAAACAGATGTAAAATATACCATAATACTGTTTAACCTCATATTTATACTTATAATACATGTGTAATGGCTCAAAAAGTATTCATTCAAGATCATTTTTTTTTTAAATTCTAATTCCTTTGGCGAGCTACCTGAAAGGGGCGGGCGAGCTACTGGGATAGCTCCCAAGACCGCTGGCCTAGAATGAGTTTAGTGTGTGGGAATGGTTGTTGGTGGTGGGAGGGACCAATGGCACAGACTGGTTGCCTTGCTTCTGCCAGTGTGCCCCAGGGCAGCTGTGGCTATAGTAGTAGTTTATCACCACAGTGTTTGGACTGAAAGAATGATGACATGTGAAGCGTGTCCAGAAAGCGCTGTATAAAACCGATGCATTAATACATGGTTTGATGCAGTTAGCGGGTTCAGGCACCTTGGAAGTCCAGAAAAGAAATCTAAGAACACACAAAAATGACAGTTAAAGGCAAATAGGAGAATGTTCCCGAATTTTAGGAAAGAACGGCTCTCTCCGGAGGCAATTAGGATCCATAGTCTAGATGATCCACCCAGAAGAAGAATATCCTCCTCTATACCTTTAATCCATCCATTCCATTTGTAAGAATGAATGAATAGATGTGAAGAGATGTAAGTGTCATGTATAATGTGACAGTAATGATAATGAAAAACCGTAGGAGTGGCCCACAGAGTCGGCTTCCTGCAGAAGAACAGTTTGGGCAGACCCTTTAATCTGTTTCTCTATCTGTTTCTCTTCTGCTGCGTGAGCTCAGGGAAGCTGGATTTTTCCTGTGGCTAAGACAGTTGCTAAAGCGAGCATAAAATGAAGGCATCTGATTGGTCGATTCTTATATGGCTTTAATCTGAATTTACAAAGACAATGTAAATATATAAACACCAGGAACACTAGTCCAAAATGGTGAGTGCGACACAAACGGTGACTGAGCTCCCGTCAGAGTGAGTCCAAAGGAGTCAGAGGGAGTTCAATTAAAGGAGCAATATGTAAGATTTTCATGTCCAGTCATCATTAAAGGGCCCTAATCTGTCAAGGGCATTAATAAAACATGCTCTTCTCCAATAACTTCTTTAACTGATAACAGTAGTTCAGAGATATTTGAATTTCTAAATTACTGTTACAGCCTCTAAATCTTGTTAGGCCAATCTCACATGCCCAGCCTAAAGCCAGGTTTAAGTGGGCCAGGGCCCACTTCACTATTAGATCCGGGCTTTAGGTGCTATGTGACCGCGGCAAGTGGGCTTGGGCACGATAGCCTCAACCAAAGATTTCTATCTTTGTGAAAAAGGTGTTGGTTATAGATTTGTTGTTGACAAAACTCTTGTCTATTCAGCTGTTATGGTCCCAGCTGGATTCGTCTGCATATCTGGCAACCTGAGTCAGGGACAGTGGGAGAGGCTGCAGTACCACTTTTGGACACATTTTTACAGACTTCTGCTTTAAACAGTGGGGAAATGCCAGTGTTGCATCAGCAGTTACAGAACAGCAGGAATGACACAGCACAAACTAAATGAACAATAACTCTATGTAAAAATGTTTTAATAAAATCTCAAACTTTAGAATAATAAAGAAGCAAATGTAAAATCCTGTATATTCAGATGCAGAGATATACAGCATATGTTTGCATCTGTGCATGTGGCAGCCTGAGGTCTGGGACGCAGAGACAGAGACACATGTGGTTCTGCATTTACTTTTATTCCAAAAACCAGCATTAACATAATTCGACAACTGAATAATGCAATCAATGTACTATTGCACATTCTGACAGTATTTCAAAGGATTGCACCGCTGCACGACAGGGAGCTCAGGTCGGCCATGTTTGAGTGGGTGCAAAACATACACACATGTGAGTGTGAGTCCTGGGACCGCGGCCCCCTGCTGGGCTCCTGCTGCTGGGCTCCTGCTGCTGGGCTCCTGCTGCTGGGCTCCTGCTGCTGGCCTCCTGCTGCGGGGCTCCTGCTGGTGACGAAAGCAGCAGAAAGAACATGGAGCAGAGACCACACTGAGCAGAGACCACAACGAGCCCGAGCTTCAGAGACACACCTGCTCTCTGTGATGCAACACTGGCCAACGCGCTCCGCCGCACACCTTTCTCACTCGTGTTGTTTGAGAGGACATGGCGTTCCCTAACCCAGAAAAACAAGCACCCCACCCCCCCTCAAGTCAAACCCCGCAGCCACCTCACAAGGCAAGTTTATCTGTATAGCACAGTTCACACACAAGGCAAGTCACAGTGCTGACCAAAACAAGACAGAAACAACACAAAAAGCATTAGGATCATAAGTACTCACAGTGCATTAACAAGAGTGAAGATAACTCCTTCACATGTTGCAGCGAAACAGAACTGTTTTTAACCTGGATTTGAAAATTGTCAGAGAAGAAGCCTGTCTCACATTTTCAGGAAGACTGTTCCAGATTTTAGCTGCTCCCTGTGCTCCTCGAAGTCCCACCAGGAGGCCAGTCCCGTGCTCCTCAGAGTCCCAGCAGGAGGCCAGTCCCTGTGCTCCTCAGAGTCCCAGCATGAGGCCAGTCCCTGTGCTCCTCAGAGTCCCAGCAGGAGGCCAGTCCCTGGCTCCTCAGAGTCCCACAGAGCAGTCCCCAGTCCCGGAGGCCAGTCCTTGCTCTCAGAGTCCCAGCAGGAGGCCAGTCCCTGTGCTCCTCAGAGTCCCAGCAGGAGGCCAGTCCCTGTGCTCCTCAGAGTCCCAGCAGAGGCCAGTCCCTGTGCTCCTCAGAGTCCCAGCATGAGGCCAGTCCCTGTGCTCCTCAGAGTCCCAGCATGAGGCCAGTCCCTGTGCTCCTCAGAGTCCCAGCAGGAGGCCAGTCCCTGTGCTCCTCAGAGTCCCAGCATGAGGCCAGTCCCTGTGCTCCTCAGAGTCCCAGCATGAGGCCAGTCCCTGTGCTCCCCAGTGTCCAAGAGACTTATTCAAAGCTGGGCATCAATATCTGAAGATGTATCCATCAACAAACCGATTTTTTCTACTCTTTATATGAAAAAACGAAATGACAAAATCAAATGTGAATAAATGTATGTCCAAATGAGACTCAAATATGGCTGAAAATGTCATTATTGAAGTTTATTAAGTGCATGAACATTCAGTGTCAGTAAGATGAAGATCAGTGACTGTGAGAATAAGAAGGGTAAAAACAATTTGAAATGTAAAAAGGGAAATAAATAGACATTTTATAACAGCTCTGTCAATGACGTAACAGAGTGTTCTGTCAGGAGGAAGGGACCAGGTTCTGCCATATAATAAAGGAGCTAGTATAAAATCTCTAGCTTTAGCATAATAAAGAAGCTAGTATTAAAATCTCTAGCTTTAGCATAATAAAGAAGCTAGTATAAAATCTCTATCTTTAGCATAATAAAGAAGCTAGTATAAAATCTCTATCTTTAGAATAATAAAGAAGCTAGTATAAAATCTCTATCTTTAGCATAATAAAGAACCTAGTATAAAATCGTTAGCTTTAGCATAATAAATAAGCTAGTATAAAATCGTTAGCTTGAGCATAATAAATAAGCTAGTATAAAATCGTTAGCTTGAGCATAATAAATAAGCTAGTATAAAATTGTTAGCTTTAGCATAATAAATAAGCTAGTGTAAAATCGTTAGCTTTAGAATAATAAATAAGCTAGTATAAAATTGTTAGCTTTAGCATAAAGAAACTAGTATAAAGTCTAGTGAGAGTCTGGTTTTTAATAACGTGATTATAAGAACGAAGGTGATCTCGTCTCGTTGTTGTTGAACGTTGTATTGAATGCGTCTCAACCTGTGGCCCCAGGACACAGAGATCATCAACACGGCGGTGCTGACCGGTCGCACTGTGGCCATCCCCGTCAAGATGGTGTCCATCGAGATGAACGGGGGAGTCACCGACGTGTCCGCCTTTGTCCAGTGCAAGTCCACCAACGAGGACATCGTCAAGGTAACACACAGATACACACATACATACACACACAGTGATACACGAACATGCACAAATAAACACACACACAGAGATACACAAACATGCACATATACACACACACACACAGATACACTAACACGCACAGATACACACACACACACACAGATACACACACACACCAGTGCATGTCCACCAACAAGGATATTGTCATGGTAATGCACACACATACAGATACAGACTCCCACAAATGCACGCACACACCAACCCACACCCCCACACACACATACCCACACATACACATACACACACCCACACACATACACCTAAACACACACAGCAGTGCAAGTCAACCAACGAGGACATTGTGAAGGTATGCAGAGGCCTCTGTTTACTGACAAGCAGCGCACGCCTGGCCTCAAGCCAAGACACTCACACACACGCTCTCACACACAGACACAAACGCACTCTCTCACACACACACACACACACACTCACGCATACACACACACACACACTCATACACGCACACACTCAGACATGTGCACACGCATTTACAATTAAGTCTATTGACTCTCTGCTTCTGTAGATCAATAGATGTCTGAGAGCTGTCTGAGTGTGTGTGTGTGTCTGAGTGTGTGTGTGTGTCTGAGAATGTGTGGGTCTGCGTGTGTGTGTGTGTGTGTCTGCGTGTGTGTGTGTTTGTGTGTCTGCGTGTGTGTCTTCGTGTGTGTGTCTGCGTGTGTGTGTGTTTGTGTGTCTGAGTGTGTGTGTCTGCGTGTGTGTCTTCGTGTGTGTGTCTGAGTGTGTGTGTGTATGTGTGTCTGAGTGTGTGTCTTCGTGTGTGTGTCTGCGTGTGTGTGTGTTTGTGTGTCTGAGTGTGTGTGTCTGCGTGTGTGTCTTCGTGTGTGTGTCTGAGTGTGTGTGTGTATGTGTGTCTGAGTGTGTGTGTGTGTGTGAGCCCTTTGTGTTGGCTCTTTACATTCCTCTGATAGAAGTGTGTCTTAACCGTGGGTGATTGCGTTTCCACAAACCTGCCTCGGTCTCGTTTCCATGGTAATGGAACAATAATACACATCATTGAAGATACAGCCGTCTGTGTCCGTCCCGCTGTGGCTCCCATGAAAGCAATGGACCCCCCACTGTGCCGTCTTAGTCACACCTTGAACCTTCGAGGGCCCCTGGAGGAGCCCGCCGAGGCCCCTGGAGCTCTGGATCCTTTATGTTGCAAGATATTTTTACAATGCGATTTTCCACCTTTATTTGTTCAGTTTATTTGATAACACAGAGTGATCTCAGTGTTACGGCAAAGGACCAGAGTCAGGCTCAGAGGGTAGAGAGAGAGAGAGAGAGAGAGAGAGACAGAGAGAGAGAGAGAGAGAGAGAGAGACAGAGAGAGACAGAGAGAGACAGACAGAGACAGACAGAGACAGACAGAGACAGACAGAGACAGACAGAGACAGACAGAGACAGACAGAGACAGACAGAGACAGAGAATCCCATTGATTTATTTTTATTGGTCCGCTCCAAAATATTTTGTATACATTTTTGTAGACTATAGACATCTGGTCAATTCCATTACTATTTGAAACACATGATAACTTGATACTTTTAGGGTTTAGGGACGTTTTCACACTATATTTAAAAAAATGCGCCTGGAAAAACATCACTGACTGCATCTTTAATTATGTAAACATGAGATGGGAGCTGATGCAGAGTTAGCTTCTGTTAGCCTCTGTTAGCTTCAAAGTTAGCTTCCTCTGCAGATGTGTAGCTCAGACGCCTCCTTTCTCCTCGCGTCACTTGTGGAGGGCGATGCCATATTAAAGACTTAATGATATTTGACTCCCAAGGTCAGGGCGGGGAACAGGACCCAGATCACGTCCTTACATCAGCCCGAAAACTGAACATAAAACATTATAAATGTGTGCTGTCAGCGGGCCCTGGCTCACATGGCTCCGTCACGTTTTCTTCTGGTTCCTGCTGGTTCCTGCTAGTTTCTCCTGGTTCCTACTGGTTCCTGCTAGTTTCTCCTGGTTCCTGCTGGTTCCTCCTGGTTTCTGCTGGTTCCTGGTGGTTTCTGCTGGTTCTTCCTTTTTTCTCCTGGTTCTTGCTGGTTTCTGCTGGTTCCTGATGGTGCCTGCTGGTTCCTGCTGGTTCCTTCTGGTTCCTGCTGGTTTCTGCTGGTTCCTGCTGGTTCCTCCTGGTTTCTGATAGTTCCTCCTGGTTCCTCCTGGTTTCTGCTGGTTCCTGCTGGTTCCTGCTGGTTCCTCCTGGTTCCTGCTGGTTCCTGCTGGTTTCTGCTGGTTCCTTCTGGTTCCTGCTGGTTCCTGCTGGTTTCTGCTGGTTCCTGCTGGTTCCTGCTGGTTCCTCCTGGTTCCTGCTGGTTTCTGTTGGTTCCTGCTGGTTTCTGATAGTTCCTCCTGGTTTCTGCTGGTTCCTGGTGGTTCCTCCTGGTTTCTGCTGGTTCCTGCTGGTTCCTCCTGGTTCCTGCTGGTTCCTGCTGGTTTCTGCTGGTTCCTTCTGGTTCCTGCTGGTTCCTGTTCACATATTCGTCTTCTGTGCTTTACCTTAACTTTACATCTATCTTACATTTGGCAACAGGATGATTAAAGTGCTTGACGTGGCTTTGAATTCCAAAAAGTATTCTTCATAATATTCAAAATTCAAGGAACTCACGTACTTTACACATACAGCACTTAAAGGACAGACGGAGAGTAGATCCAGGACTCAGACTGTAGAACGAGGCCCGAGTGTCTTAGCCAGCCATTTATCACTCTTTATAGAGGATTTAGAGCACTCTGCCAGCAGGGGGCGCTGCAGTAGTCGAGCCTTGAGGTGACAAAAGCGTGGATTCCTGATTGTAACGATGCTGCGCAGGTGGAAAGATGCAGGTTTAGTTCTTGGTTGATTAGGACTCCAGGATTCCTCTCGGTGCTGCTAGCTGCTACGCTAACAATATCAAGTGTGATTATCTGATTGGTTTGGCCTGGTCTGGGTTTACAGCAGATCATTTAGGTCTTTGATGCCGCACTAAGCCTTTCTAACTGATTGGTCTGGTTTGGTTTCAGCGACAGATAAAGTCTCTGCTGCAGTGGACGTGAATACCTGTTTTTTAACGATGTTCCTAATGGCAGCAGGTAGAGTGTGAAAAGAAGTGGTCCGAGTCTATGGGGTAAGGTTACTGTCAATAAAGACGTGCATGTCTAAAAAAATGCGTGCATATTTATTGGTATTTGTGCATACACATATTTTATTAATTCATGATTAAGATAATACAAACTAAAAAGACATGGAATTTCGTAATTAAGAATAAAAAAAATATAAAACTATGTGTGATTTTGTACTTGTGAATGCGATAGTTTTTTTTTGCTTGCATTTTCTTTTTGAGAATACGAATTTCAGCAGTGAGCAAACTGTCAATAATACGTCACTGCTCACAGACATTAACAATCGAGCCTGCACAGAGTTGATCAACTTCATTGCCTAAAAACTAAACATGGCAGAAGGACACAACATAAACAAAGCGGCTCAAAATCAAGTATATAACTATATTTTATCATTTTGGTTGTAAATGAATGTGTAAGAAATATTAATTCCATAAATGTGTTCATAATAAGATGTTTCTTGTCCCTCTAAAGGTTTTTTGGCAGTGTTGTTAGCTCCAATGCTAGTTTTATTTTCTTATCCTTATATTGTTTTATTCTACAGAAAATAATGCATTTATTTTAGTCTAAACAACAGACTAACTAGTCTTACTGAACTAGTGAGTAAAAGTAATGTGTCAAATGTACAAATATAAGATTGAGGTCCACAGGGACAGGGTGTGCTACGTCTAACAACCAAGGATGAATATAGCACGGAGGTGTTCTTCATATTGCTCAGGGGCAGTAACAGCGCGAACTATGAATAATCTGGAGGGTTGGGGCTGGTATCAACACTTTAACCACATTGATTCGGGGCCAAGGCCTCATCAAATGTAAATGCTAAGAATGTAAAAATGTTGGTTTTAAAATAACATGGTAAGCTGTAAAACTAGCTTTGAAGCTAGTGTTAACTAAACACTGCCTAAAAAAACGTTTCTAGAGAGGGACAAGAAACATCTTATGAACACATTTTATGGAATTAATATTTCTTACACATTTATTTACGACCAAAATGATCAAATATAGTTATTTACCTGATTTTGAGCCAAATTGTTAATGTTGTTGCCCTCTGCCATGATCAACTCTGTGCAGGCTCGATTGTTAATGTCTGTGAGCAGTGACGTATTATTGACAGTTTGCTCACTGCTGAAATTCGTATTCTCAAAAAGAAAAAGCAAGCACACAAAAAAAAATCGTATTCACAAGTACAAAATCACACATAGTTTTATATTTTTTTATTCTTAATTACGAAATTCCATGTCTTTTTAGTTTGTATTATCTTAATCATGAATTCATAAAAATAAATTATGCACAAATACCAATAAATATGCACGCATTTTTTTTAGACATGCACGTCTTTATTGACAGTAACCTTACCCCATACGAGCAGTGTTGGGCACGTTACTTTGAAAAAGTAATTAGTTATAGTTACTAGTTACTTCTCCCAAAAAGTAACTGAGTTACTAACGGAGTTACTCCACTATAAAAGTAACTAGTTACCAGTAAAAGTAACTATTGCGTTACTTTTTCGTTTTGTTCTGGAACATAATGTGCACCCGACGTGCGCATTTTTACGTTTAACCTCAGTGAGTCTGAAATAGTGCCAATATTTCCATCTAGAAAAGGCTGTTTTGCTGCTGAAGTCCTGTTCACTCTTCATCTCTTTCTGTGCTGTAAGCACTAAACACCAACACCCTCCACTGTGAATGTGGAAACACCGGTGAAGCACTGACTTCAGCCCAATCAGATGAACCTATATATCATAGAAATCAACTGGACCTAGAGAGCGGCTTATTTGTTTGGCTACAGCAGAATATGTTTCATGGCCGCATTGTTTGTTCATACAAAACGCAAAACTATGAGTTATGTGTCTTACCTTATAAATGACCTACACAGGCCACTTCGGTTCAGACCAGTTCCTTGTTTAAGTCCAGTTAATGGTTTGAGCGTAGATATGTTATCCTCCAATTGGAAATGAGTCCAATGAGTTTTAAAAAGTAAAACAAAACGCGTGTGTCCTCCATAAACTCCTCTGTTTTGCTGCAGCCGGCTGCATCCAATTTCTAAAATCAACCGTCTTACACTTCACCTCTCTTTCTTATTATTCCTATAGTCATTGAAAAATTACCCTAAGTGCATTTTAAATTATCTTAAAATGTGTTATATGTATGTTAGCCAAACCTGTTGCTGCCTGTAGCAGATAAACCAGGAAGAGAAAGGAGCCTTTCGATGGAATTGTATGCAGCCGACTTCTGTGCTCACATGCACTCCTCTGTGGCTGACCTCACGGTGATACAAGCCGTTAAGCGCGATTGAGACCCATATTTGTTTCAAAAACACAATTTATGAGCCATCCTCTCAACTGTAGACATGTAGATTGTAAAGGAAATATGATTTACATCAGCCAATAATTTCTGAGAGGTTTTCTCATCCTCCCTTCTCTCAAGACAACACGCGCACGAGTCCTATCACGGAGTAAAAAGAGAAGTTAACTGTGCGTCTTGAGTAACGCGCAGTAACGGGATGTCGGAAATGATAACGGCGTTATAGTTACAGTCAAAGTAACTAGTTAGATTACTCGTTACTGAAAAAAGTAACGCCGTTAGTAGTAACGGCGTTATTCTCATCACTGCATACGAGTCCCGATCCTTGTGGCACATCCAATTTTACTTGAGTTTAAGGCAAGGAGTTTTGGTTACAATTACAATTACAATTACAATTTATTCTTGTATAGCCCTAGGTCACAACAGAAGTCATCTCAGAGGACTTAACAAAACCATTGAAATCACCAACACAGGTCAGAGAATCAACAGTTAAAACACATGAAGAATATAAAGCACACAGAAGAAAATGTCCATACATGTTGTAGAATGCTAAAATGTCCTGATCATCACCAATCCTTTCTGTTGGACACTAACTGTCCAACAAGACCCTCCTGCATCGACAAGGAAAAACTCTTAAAAAACCCAGTGGGAAAAAGTGAGAAACCTTGGAGGAGAACTAGGGAAACCCACAGGGAGGGAGACCCATATGAGAAAGGGATCCGCTCCTCCGGACGGACAGGCTAATGATCTAGGACCTAAGCTAGCTACAGAACGTGGACCAGTGGACGCTGAACGTGGACAGGTCCGGTGCAGGACTGAAGCACTCCCAGGCGGGTCGGGCGGGGCAGTCCGCAGGTGTAGATGGAAGAGGCCAGGCTCAGAGATCCCGTCATCGTACCATGAAACAGACAATGGGACAACGGGTGAATAGCAATGAACAAACTACAGTCAGAATCCTAAAAATGCTAAACAGATAAAGTAGGAAGGAGGAGAGGATAGTGCTCAAGTTACCATACTTCTCCCAGAAAACTGACTCCCTATGCAGCTTGACTAACACTCTGAGGAGTTTAACCTTCTCCGAGTCTTACCTTCCTAGCCATATGCTAAACTAAAGAGGACTGTTTTAAACCTAGCCTTGAATAAAGAATAACATACAGCATAATATATAACATAATATACAACATAACACAATACATTATTGAATAATATATAACATAATATATAACATAATACAGCATATATATAATATATACACTACATATTATATATTACCTAATTATATGCTAAATTAAAGTAAAGTGCTTTAAGCCTGGCCTTGAATGTGGAGACCGTATCTGCTTCCTTAACATAAATGGGAAGCTGATTCCACAGTAAAGGAGCTTGGTAGCTAAATGCTCTGCCACCAACAGTGACCTTTGAGACCTTAGGGACCACCAGACGTCTGGCGTTTTGTGAGCGCAACGCTCGACCTGGTTGATACGACACTAACGTGTCTTGGAGATAAGAAGGAGCCAAGCCATTTATGGCTTTATATGTTAAGAGTAGGATTTTAAACTTTATTCTGTACTCCACAGGGAGCCAGTGGAGTGATTTTAACACCGGAGTTATGTGCTCCCTCCTTTTGGTACCTGTTAAGATCCTAGCTGCTGTATTCTGAACGAGCTGGAAGCTCTTCAAAGAGGCTTTAGGGCACGCTGCCAGTAAAGCGTTACAGTAGTCGAGCCTTGAGGTGACAAACGCGTGAATGAGTTTTTCCGCGTCACTTTTAGGAAGGAAATTCCTAATTTTAGCGATGTTCCGTAAGTGGAAGTACGCCGTTTTAGTTGCTTGGCTTATATAAGCCTTGAAGGAGAGTTCTTGGTCAAAAATGACTCCAAGATTCCTCACAGTGTTACTGGGTATTATACTGACATTATCGAGAGTAACCATCTGGTTAGTGAGGGAGTCACGCAGGCGCTTCGGACCGAGTAGGATCACTTCTGTCTTCTCCGGGTTGAGAAGTAGGAAGTTAAGAGTCATCCACATTTTAAGGTCCTTTATGCAGGCACTGAGCTTTTCTAGCTGATCTGTCTGATTAGGCTTCATCGACAGATAAAGCTGTGTGTCATCTGCATAGCAGTGGAAATTAATTCCATGCTTTTTAATAATGTTTCCCAGTGGCAGCATGTAGAGAGTAAAAAGAATCGGTCCGAGTACCGAACCCTGCGGCACACCGAATTCCA